CTGCGCCACCTTGCCTTCGGGCGGCAAACGTTCTGTCCGTAAACACGAGTATAACGTAAAGATACGCCCTCCGTCTCTCAAAGATTATACCGGCGCAGATCGAACGTCTCTGTGCTCGAGGGGTTAAATTACCCGTTTGCCGAGTTTATTTATTCCCGATAAATTCTTGATTAACAACCGTCACCAATGCCCCGAGGCGGACGACGTACAGGTGGGTCTTTACACCTGACGAGTCTCGTTTCGCGTTTCTTCGTCCGGCTCGGCGGAGCTCCGCGTATCTGGAATGCACGTGTGAGGTCGCGGCGGGCGTATTAAGCCGCGTCGCACATGAAACTCGTGGTCGTCCAGCGTCGCCAAGCCGGCAATAAAGACTAATTGAGATTAGCGCCGGCCACGCTGTGTTAAGCAGGTGCGTCCCAAAGGAAGGGTTACCAACCGTACAAGACTACGAATAATCTTTTTTAAGGCGGTAAAAGAGGTATATCTCGCCTTTCACTTATCATAATTGAACGTGTCGTAATATTTTCGCGGCGTTTTCGCCTACCACCGTGTCACCGTGTAAAATTCATTGAACATTTCCTTTTTTAAGATAACTTTGTTCGAATACGTATCGAAGATACCGTGCATTTTGACGCGAGACATCAGCTTCACCGTAGGTTACATTAGAAGAGATTAAGATTAGATTACTAAGCTTACGGTACACATACGGCATACGACCGAATGCAATCGATCGTTTCACGAATTTCTATTGAATTAAATTGAAAATTACTTGAAATATTCTGAAAAAAATATTCTCGTATATCCCATTCCCTTAATTGACCATCGTTTAGTTTATTATATTTATATTTCTGTGTACCGCCAATAAAGCCCAAGGCTCGACGAATATTTCTGATTTTATTGTGTCCCAGGGGTGCAAGGGCAATTGGTTACCTTTGACGGTCGTTCACAGAGAACAATAGGACGAATAACTGGAGGGTACCGAAATTGTAGGTGTACACGTGTCCGTAGACCCCGACAACAGCTGGAAATCCACACGGAAATGATCAGGGTCGACGGGTAGTCCGTGCACTTAACCTCATGGCCACCAGAAATCAATCAAGGTAGGTCGGGTAGGTACGCGCAGGTGTTGTGTACCAGCTGAGCCCGTTCGTCGGGGAATTTCCCCTCGTATACCTTGAATGGGGACTAACTGCCGACGACAGCATTCACGGCTAATCCAGTTTTATTTCCTACTCTATTGGGGGTCTAATTTTCCACGAGAGGAATTTTCCCTTCCAGACGTTACATTCTTTCTACCATTCCAAGATGTTACATTCTTGCTATTAAAAATATTCACTTTGCAATAGGATATTACGTCGTCGCTTCGCAAGTTTTCGACCGCGTACAGAACACGTATCGTGGGATTCGTTCGCTGTTACGCTATCTCGCTCGTTCTTGTAGACTTAGCCTAAAATGTGAAATCTACGATATAGTATGGAAACAACGCGACCTAGATATTATTGGCAACGCCATCGGTTAATTTGCTTCGCGGCTAGATATCTGGTTGCTCCCGTTTTTATTGTTACACGATAACCGAATAAAGTGCTGCAATGTGATGTCACCGATGATAAAACGGTATCTAAGCACTCGACGGAGCCGTTTGTCGTTCAGATCCTGCAATTAAACCATTTATCATTCTTCCCCTATAGGCGTTACAAATTTACCTAATTACAATGTAACGAAATTTCAGTTCGAAATCCGTTATTACACGTATCAGTGGATAGCGCCACGTCTAGGGAAGGGAGCATTCCCAACTTTGGAATAATACCGATATAGACCACGATCGGAAAACACGATTTTCGAGGTGGCGGATTATTCTACGGGGCGAAACGGCCAGTGCTAGATAAGGCAACGATCGAGAAACAGGTATTGAAACGAGAGCGAGAGAGCGCATCGGTCAGCGCGAGAAAGAGAGCGGTAAGAGCGGCGGGAAACGATACTGGACACTGCTAGACCCATATAAAGAAGAAGAACGAACCACTTAGATCTCTCTTCGCCGTTGGTCCACGACTAACGCGACTGGATACTGCGAGCTTTCCGTCGCTCGCAGAATGTTCCAGCTAAATGCACGCAGCGTATTCGCCGATTTTCGATGGATAATATTCGAAAAAAACTTTGAGTCCTATCGCATGTAATCGATAAAAATTGTATTTTAATCTAAAATACGAAAAGTTGAGTTTCGTTAAAGGGAATTTTTATTCTTGTAAAAATATGAACGTGAAGCGAGAGGCGAAAAAAGTTCTCGGTTTGTTTAGACGAAGCATTGACGTCAGCGGAGATTTGGGATCGACGGCAAAGGAAGTTGCCAGTTCGTTAGGAATTAACGCCACGTCTCCGCGAGTCGACCTTGTTCTACGTACTCTTGACGAAGACTCGAGATACGCTTCACAATCGAAACTACAAAAACATTGCGCAATTACGCGACAAACATCGTATAATAAGACAATAATACAATACGACAATAACAAACAGAATTCCATCGTCCAGTAGTTTCTTTCCACAGAGCGTTCAACCTGAATACGCATTGGCGTATTACAACACGATTAACGATATTATTTTATAATTACTTTTACCCATGACGAATATCTACATAGAAATAGTCCTCGCTTCCGAATTGCACGGGATTGTCTTCAATTCGACAAAATATTCCACTCGGAACAACCTATTACCGATTTTCGAAGACCCTGCAAGTCGTTGTATAACCGATTAACCATGTTCAACGTAAAAGCTCCGAACACCAAAGGTTGTCCTCATTCGTGATATGCGAGAGTAGGTGGATACAACTTTCGCTTCTTCGCGAATCCGTATCGTCTCCGTTTTCCATTTCGTGAAATCGCAATCTTCGGTAATCGCAAACAGAATGTCCAACCAAACCTATTTAGACCCGAGCCACACACGTAGCGAACGTCGATGAGGCGAACGTGTTGAATATTTATCGGCTGTCCGTTTCATTATACATACGCGCTGGCACGCTAGACACGATTGTTCGTACCGTGGAATCATCTCGATCGCTTTGGATTTATAGGGGAACGTCTAAATACGCATTTCCACGTTGATACGCGAGTAGCGTCGCTTTCAAGTTCGGGCAACGGGTTTTTCGTTTAATATGACCGCGTCGCTCGAGCCGAAGAAACGTAAACAGAGTGGCGATGATGAGTCAGTTTCTCGAAACCTATACTACAATTCTATCTCGAAGCGAAGAATTACCGTGGAAGAATTACGAGGCGCGGTTGCAAAGGAATGTCACCGCGAAATTTTCACTGCGATGATCGGTACGAGCGCTCGGTATTATCATTCACCGCGGTGACCGTGTTTACATATTCGCGCTGCACGAACGCGTAATTCACGGCCCATGCTTTGTATTCGCACCGACAAATAACACCGCGGTAACCCATGGAAACAGACCACGACGTATTCCCTCGCTAATGCGCCGCGTTCCATTAACCCTTTCATGTCCAATTTATCATTTTTTATGCGTAACAGTTTTAAATTGTAACGTACATGTAACTCTTCACGTACGGGAGGCGGAATCATCCCCATCTACTTATGAATTCGATTAACCATGGACTTGGACTCAACAACTTTTTCCTATGTTATCGTTCAATTTTTTTTTTGGCGTTGTTCCATTAAATTGATTACCAGACAGCTGAATTCGATACCTCATTCGCCTGGTAACCCGATCATTATTAAAGGTAAGTATTACGCTACGTAATCTAGAAGCAACTGTAATTAATCCCCGGCTATGTAACCGCATTTCCTCTCGAAACATTTTTGCTTAAATTGTTCAGCGTCGTGCGAGCGTTTTGTAAGAATAAATCACAACGTATCCGACGGGACTATTCAAACACCTGGTAAAAGCACGGCTACCAAACGATAAGCTAAAACGATATATTTATATATTTTTCTTGAATTCTATACGTTTATTTGGTAAGCGTTTTCCAGGTGGAATTAAACATTTTTTTCTTCACCTTTCACTGGATCGTGAAAAGTTCTTATCTACTCGCAACTTCTATCGTACTTTGAAAGACACTGGTACACACGTTTTGTCTAGTTTTGCGATCGGAAGAAAACGCGTTGAAAATTGTAATTGCGTAACATTCACGGATCAGTGGAATAAGTAGAAATTCTTTCGAGGCTCGACAGAGTGCCGTCGCGCGATGGCTTCGCGACAGAAATGCGACTACAATACACATCCATTAACTCGTTCTAACATCTGGGTCAGTACGAGGTGTTTAAGAACCGGTACGTTACTTCCTGCCTCGTCGTGACATCCACGAGCAGTCATATTTTACTCGGTTGCCATCGAACGTTTCGCGAAACGACCGTTCGTTAAATTTTACAAAGACGAATCTCTTCGTATACGTATTATTATTTTCGTCGGGGTGTTCAAAGGGAAAACAAAATTTCTAAAAAATGTGTAGTTTATAGATCGTTGTACATGTTTAGTTGAAAAACTTTCGAATATTTAGTTCATAGGTGATATTTGTTTAAAGTTCGATAAGAGTGAAATTTAACTAAAACGATACGTTTGCGTGATTTCTACGAGAATGTTTAAAACGGGAGGCTTGCTATCCATTTAAACGAATAAATAATAGCGAGAAGTGAAGAGCGGCGTCGGTGTCGCGCGACACCTATTCAAAGCACACGATCGGGAGTTCGATTCCCGCCCTTTTTCGCGTGGCTCTCGTTACGTAAAAGCGCCATTCGGCTCGCGGCGAAGCCCGGTATTTTCGAGCGTTCTCTAACCTTTAAAGGAAAAGAAACTGCTCGCATTCTGACGAAATCGCGACTCGAAACACGACCGTAGACGCCTCGTGAAACGGTCGTCGACGCCGAGCCACGACATCGGGCCGTGTCACGGATTCGATCGGTGGTAAACCGATCAGGAGGGGTATCCACGCGTGCGAAACGAAACTAGAAAAAAATCGCGCATCCAACAGAGTCGAACAATGGCGACTTACCGGCGGCACGATGAGGCCTCCTGGCCCAGTCGTCTTCGATCAAGGGCACGAACCTGCGCGCACGCAGCGTCGAAGGGTAAGAAACGACGATAAGCAGCGTCGACAACAGCAAACCGCCGTGGTAACGCATCTCGGACAGCTTTTCTCGGTCTATCGCGGTTCGGTCTCTTCGTTTCTTCTCTCTTTCTCACTCGCTTGTATCTCCTATTTCGCTTTCTCGTCCCTGGGCCGTTCGCGCGCGCGCGCTGCCTCAACGCATATAGCGCGGTTTTCGTCTCTCTTACACCTTACCCCGTTCACTGTCTCGCTTGTATTTTCTATTTCTATCTCTTTTTCTCTCTCCCTGTCGTCGAGAGCCGCGGCACTTGGTCTATTAACGACCGTTCACTGCACAAAACTTTCTGCACTGGTACGGCACTGTTAAGGTCTCACCATCACCGTAATTCTTCTCCTCTGACCCTTGGCCGGTCGACGCGACCGAACGATTGTTGTTCGAGCAGTGATTAATCGAGATCCTCGCAACGACCACGAGATGGGCAAAATTCCTATCTAGATGAACATTTCGAATAACGAATTAAAGATAAAGCAACATTTCGCGCGATACTCGTTCGATAAAAATTGCAATCCAAATTATACAAGCGTATATATGCGATGAAGACATCAAATAAATAAATAATTAAATAAATAAATAAATAAATAAATAAATAAATAAATAAATAGGTTGAATTATGTTTCACGTTACGCGAATGAAAGCTTATCCGAATAACCGTGTCCGATTGTTCGAACCGTCGCGAGTAAATTGTTACGGAGTCTTTATTCAAATTGCAAATTATTCTCACGTTCGATACAGATATGCCGGTATCCACGTGTGCGATAAAGGCGTTTAATGGTAATAACGATTATTCGAATAATTCTGGCCATCTCTGGACGACGACGGCGAGGCGACGGTCGTCGGCGTAGTCCACGATCGACTTGGAGCACGGCGACACATACGACGGGTCGCGAGCGTGTACGATAATGATTAGAAACGATCGGCGGGCCGGGTAGAGCCCCGTGGCCGCAATATTTACTGCACGATAACGCGACGGTGTATCGTGCACCGACTCGAGAGACACGTCCAACGAGCGCATCCGACGGCTTAACGGGCCTAAGGTGCACGCAGGATCGTGCAATTCTTTCCTTCTGCCGTTCTCTCCCAGCCTCTCTCGATCTGCCTATTTATCCTTCTCTCTTTCTCTCTTTTCCCGAGTGCACAGTTCGTACGGAGGATTCCCCCTCCCCCCCCCCTCCCTCTCTCCCCGTCTCCCCTATTCGCCCAGAGCCTCGTTCGTCGCGCGTTCCGTGTTACTGCGCGCACGTTTTATAAGGCGGTACACAACGAGGCGACGAGAGGGACACGAAAGAGCGAACGTGGTTGGCGCTTCTCCTTTTCCCTCTGCCTCCGTTTACACGCATATGTATTTACACATCATATTTTCTCTTCTCATTTCTTACTCTCATCTTTACCTTTGTATTCTTATACGATTTATATATGTATTATTTAATGCTTATTTTATCTTCTTTCTATTCCTAGCGTTGTATATTTTGTGTATATATATATATCGTTTCTCGCGTCCCTTCGTCTCTGTTTACACATATTCTTTCTCCATTCTCTATTCCTATCTTTATGTTTATACCCTTAACGAAATTATCGTTTTACGTATATTGCTTATTATTTCTTGTTCTTTTTACCGTGTACCTTTTTATTAATATCGTTTTCACCGTTATTCAATCCGTGTTTCTGTACAGCGCGTGCACTTTGTATTCCGAACAAACGTTCGTAGGAGCGTGTGTCATAAATGAACTTTCTCGCGGTTGGACTCGATGTACGTTCGACACGGTACGATAAGGTTAACCGTGACTTTGAGCGAATCCACGGAAATTCGCGAATTCTCCTAAGCTCTGTCGCGTTGGTTCGCGTCGAATCGATCATCGACGATACCGAGCCTCGAGGTCCGTTGAATCCCGCATCGCGCCTGCGTGGGCGATTTTCCGCGCGTGCACGGAACGACTGGTCGACTCCTGGTGTCGCGATTCACGATTAGCTCGGTCGTTTGGCACTGGGGATCCTTTCTCACCGTTCGCTTCGCCTCCTCGCCGGCCTCTTTCCACGCGAAGCAACGGGCCAGTGCGCGTCTGACACGGTCGGCGCGTGACTGCCGTGACTGACTAGCCGATCGCGAGCGACTGACTGGTGGGAAGCTGTTGCTCGACTCGCTCTCTACGCCCGTGCCGCCACTGAATCCGATGTATCCGATCATCGGCACTCCGCACTGGCTCGCTCGAAAAAGCTTCTGGCTTTGGCGCTTGCGCCACGGACGGGATCGCTTTTTCGTCTTTTGGTGTGCACTCGCGCTCGCGATTGTGTGTGCGCCCGCTTTTGTATACACAGGGCCGCGTCGCGCAGGTTGTTCGCCGTACAAAGGTGTCCAATCGACGGGATCTGAAACGATTACGATCGTTTAAAGATGACCCATTATCGCTAACCCTTCACCACGTTGACAGTTTTTTAATCCGATAGCTTTGTAGATTCTGCTACTTACACTTTGGATCGAACGTTAATTAATTCGCGAATAAATAGCCGAGAAAGATAAATTCAAGTTCGCGTAGCAGAAAGTTGGCAAGTTTCTCGAAGCGACAGAAAAATTTAACGGATTTATGTTTTTATGCATAGTACGAGCATCGAGTCGCAAAAGAGTAACACAGCAGCATCGGGGCGAGGGTACGAGAGTTTGCACAAGGGCGGATCATGTCCACGCGACGGTCCTATGTATACACACGAAAGACGAGAGACCGGACCGCGCGTCTTTGCCCGTGGAAGCGTCGCTCTGTCTGGCGCTTACACTCGGCGGTATCGCCGGCTCGTCTCCTCTTCTCTTATAATAGTTTTCGAGCGCGTGCCGGTGGCGGATCCCCGAGAGGCGATCAAAGTCGATTCGAGCGCGACGAAACACCGAGATCGATTTCACGATCTTCGATCCAAGCGAAACTCGCGTATGCACGTAGCGAGGCTCGATTTCGACGACGATCAACTCGAGATAATCGCGTCGCGTTATCTTTAACAGACCGATTCTTATCGATTCCAGTATTCTACTTTCGTTATTCGACGATCGGTGTCGTTCACTGGGGAAAGAACGACGAACAGTGGTGTAGCCAAATGTGTGCAGAATTCGAGGACCTTTGATTTCGTAACAATAATTTCGACTGATCGGTGATAGATCGGAAACGTTGCTTTTTACAAACGAATACCGTTTCACACGTCTCGTTGGTTATTTCTTTTAAATTGAAAATACCACTTTTTTTTTCAATGTTATTCGAAATTCATAGCCGTTTATGGGTTCCACCATAGATGTCAGCCGGGTACCAGAGTCGTTGGTTACGCCACTGACGACAGACTTTTCCGAGAACTTCGAATTCTGCTCGCGGCGTGGCTATTATTCACTGATCGGGCCCGGTATGTGTCGTCGCGATCGCGTGACATTTCGTGCCTCTCTGTTACGAGAGACGAACGGGACGGTTGTTCCGACGGAGGGACGGTTTACCGATCTCGACTTTGACTCTCCCTCGAAATGCGCTTAGGCACGAAGAGAGACACGTTGCGTCGATGTAGCCAACGATGACAACTGTTCGCAGGCCGGTCGAGTCCGTCGCTTTTATGGGGATAGCCGACCACGCTGCCACGGCCCGGGACCCGTGCTTCGGTATCAACGTGTGCGCGAGCGCGCGCGCGCGCGCCTGCGTTTACGTGCTTGATGTACCGCGTATCGTGCGAGTGCGCGTTCGCAGTCACACGCGTACACACACACCATTATACATGCGCGTACTCTTTATCCCTCCGCGCACATGACCGTGTAGGATCGCGCTCCTCCATTATCTACCTCTTTGCACTCCACTGGCGCCGATACGGCGACGCACGTAACAGTATCGGGGAAAATGAAATCGTTCTTACCAAATGTATTATATGTTAAATATGCATTTTTCAAATGTATCACATAATCGTGGCCATTTCCAGAAAGCGTACTATAATAGAGGAATTTGGAAGCGATGTATTCGAATCTGGCGATTGTCTGTAATTGTCGGAGTGCAAAGGAGTGATGCGCGGCAATCAGCGATGTATGAGCGCGGGGAGAAAGAAATCGAGAAAGAAACAGGGGTTAACCGAGGGAACTCGTGTCCGGCCAGTGGCACGATACCTCGATCGTGGTGGGTGTCGCGAATGACTGTGCCGTCCAAGAGGTGTGCGAGACCGCGCCGCGCCGCGCCGCGCGTGTGGGTGCTTCCCCTACCTTTAGACACCACCACCATCGCGATTTCCACCACCGTCGCACTGACTGCCGGCACCACCACCACCGCCAGGCGTTGAGCAGCGAATACACCGGTATCGGAGAGCAACGAGCATGGGACGTAACTTCTTGTTAGCTCTTCGTCGTCTCACCCTCTGCGTTCATCTCGATTATTATCGTTATTTTATAGGCTGGTTTATACTAGACTCCGGCACAGGGTGTGCCGTTCGGATCGTTCAGCAAGAAGAAATTAATTTTGCATAATTGAAATTAATGAAATTAACATGCTTCGCGGTATTCGATTAATCCTAATCTGGACAAATAAATTCTTAAGATCATAGAGAAGTCTATTTCTGAAATAGATACGATAATTGGATTTAACGAACGTTACTTATCCATGTATCGATTTATATACGTGTTTGTTTATATGCGCGAAACAGTATAAAGTTCTAAGGGTGACAAATTAGCACGCCATCCGACTACGTCCACAGCGTCTGTATCTTTTCTTCCAACCCAACACATGCTTGCATTGTTTCGTGTCCGCTGGAGGCAATTTACACGACAGGCATCCGGGGATATAAAATAATCCCCGGAGAAGCTCCCGTTGCAGCATCGAACATCGTGATTCACAGACACGAAACAATACATCGACGCGTTCGAACCGCGAAGGGGAGGCGAGGAACGTGAACGACTGTTTACACGAAAGAAGCGCGAGCTACAAAGAGGAATTCCCGGATATGAACGGGCGGCGATAAGCGTTCACGGGAATACATCAATGAGCTAAGCTGGCCACCGTGAATGGAGGCGCGATCGCGGTGGGTTTTGCATTCGACTCGTTGATTCGCGACACGCGTCGAAATGACGTAGGACGTTAAACGTGTACGATGCAAATCCATGGTACGGGCGTCGCATGCAGAGTTCGCGGTATCAACGCATAATCTATATATATCCAGACTAATGCACGTTTCCAATGACCTTCCGTGTTTCTTCAAAAGGTGTCGCGCCCGGAACAAAATTTCTATCTGATACGATTTCCCTCGCGAATTGCTTCGACTCTAAAAACAGAAACCGAAAGGATACTCGTCAAACGAATACCGTTATGGTCTTTTTTTCCCCTCTCTTCCCTTTGCATGTGGTTCGAATACCGAAGATCGACCAAAGGAGACAGACTCGACAAGTTACGGATCCGTAAGCGAAGAAAAAGTGTTATGAAAGTAACGCCCAAGTTACAAGTTGACGCGTTTTGTTCTTTTCTCCTACCAACAAATTTATCGTTATTTAACGCATCCTAAATTCACGATAATAACCTTCCGGCGAAACGTGTTAAGAGACGGAGAGATATATCTCCAGCCAATCCGACTTGGAGAAAGAGTAACGCGTTACAAACGAATAAAACTTCCGCAATGAAAATAAAAGGAAGGGAGAGGTTTCGTCGCGTCCCTCGCGGGATGGTGTTCCTCTGTGGAGAACTGGCAGCGGCAAACTCGTTACGAAATCGTCCCTAAGACGGGGTGACTAATTGCTAAGCGGCTTGTAAAAATTCGCGGGACAGTCTGTCGACATCGTGGCGCGGTCGTCCGATCGTCGCGCCATTATACTTTTTGCCCGTGCACGGTCGACTAGAGAAGAAACGAGGAGACGAAGCGAACGCGAGCGAAAGCGAAGGAAGTGAAACGGAGACTGAACAAGTGGGTGGCGAGAGGTGGGACGCGGGGGAGAACGATAGCGAGAGAGAAAGAGTGACAGCGGGCGAGGGGGGGGGGCGGCGGCGGCGGCGGTGGCGTGTGCGTGTGAGGCCTTAAGGTGAGAAAAGAAAAATGGCGAAGAGCGACCGAGGGCTCTGCGTCCGTTCGCGTTCGAAGGCGAGAAGGGGACGACGCTTTCGCAGATTCCACGTGAGATACCTGCGGCATTCTTCGTTCTGCACCGGGCATTAAGCCGGATGCACATTCGTCGTGGACGACGCTCGGTGAATTCATTTCCAAGAAAAATATCTTCCGCCTCGAAACGAATTTTACGGCAGATTTTGTTCGTCGCCGAGGCCCCAGGCTCCGCTGGATGGAACACACGAACACACGCACACACATACACACATGCACGCACAATAGGGATGATCTTTCTTTTTCTTCTCGTTTCGCGGACACGAGACCGCCATGGACACCGGCGCAGGCCAATAAAACTTCTAATCCCAAGATGAACCGCGCGTGATTCTTCCCGCGACGTTTACGCATTTCTGACGAGTTTGTGCGCAGTCGGCGATGCGCGCGAAATCGTCGCTAATCTCCACGAGCGCGACGCCGTCTCATTGGCCGATGGGTGACTTTAGGGACGTACGAACGGTTAATTATACAGGGCATTTCAAAACACAATGTACGAGACTAGACAACTTTCCTTTCCTTAACGTTTTCAAAGGTTTAAAACGAAAACGACTACAAACCTCTACGAAAGATCCTCATCTCAGAAGAACGACCGCGTTTACAAGTAATTATGGAAGATGATTCACTGGGAATCGTGTCATTGTCAACAAGGCTGACCGACCGATTGCATCATGTGCACACGAATCAATTTCGTAACGACCCGTCATAAATTCGATGTTTTTTCGGTAGTTTGCGCTCGATGAGCACGTGTTTGTAGAGTTCGTCCCAGATTCGAGCCTCGAAATAGAGCCCCGTAAATGTACAACAGACGCTATAAAGATTTACGCTCGTCGATGCTTGTGCCGGGAAACGTTTCATGTCCGAAGATCCTTCTGCGCTATTCGATACCAGCTACCAAAAGCTTTCCGTGGTTATTACTCGCTTCGAATTCTCTTTCGAGCCTACGTATCCGTTTACTCGATATTAAAAATATACATTTTAGACATGCGACGTGTACAATGTTACAATCGAGACAAATCCGTGCTCCACCTAGCGGACGAAAAATCGTCGGACTTAACCTTCTTGCTGTGCGTCCATTCGCAAACGAATTATTTATCTCGCGGGATAAAAATCGCTCAAGCCAAGATTTCGATCGGCCAGGAGGCAACCAAAGATCGAAATCACAGATACAGAGAGAAAAAGGTGGTGGAATCCGAGAGTCACAAAGGGCGCCAGAAATGATTTATATCGATTCCCTGTCGCGCTAGTTCCACCGTTGGCCGCGGGGCGGCGCGGAGGAAGCTCATTTGCGCGGGACCACACGCACAATGAAACAAGACGAAACTCAATTACTTCGGAGAATCATCGGACTCTCCCTTTGTGGTACTTGCTTGCTCTGACACTGCATCTTCCGTTTTTGGAACTGTCTTTGCTCGAGAAAAACTGTTTACCAAGCTGGAATACATGGAACAATCGTTTTGAAAATATTAGGTTATGCTTGTATGTATCGCATTTTCCAACTGCACCGCTAACGGGCGTGCAAGAAAAATAGAAAATCGGACGACCTGGAAGATGGGAGGAAGATTGAAAGAATTGAAAGACGTTGGGAGGAAAGGTAAAGAGGTGAGCGAGAGACGACGGGCGTAAAAGGTATCATCCGAGCGACGACCATTCATCGGTGCACGGCTATGACAAATCTAATAGATTCTCGGCGACTCAGGGGCGCCCACGGAAGGGCCCAGCAGAAGAGGGAAAAAGAAACGCGCAAGAAAGGGGAGGGGTGTCTCTATTGAATGGTAGACGAGCGGATGTAACGCTTTCGTGGACCCTTCGCTGTCCCTTTTAACAATGATATCTCAGCTCGCCGCGGCATGGGAGAACCGTGAAATAAAGTCAAGCTCAGCGTTGCTCAGACGCTCGTACAATGCTTATTGTCGTCCCCCAGGAATGCGGGGAGCTCGGTATTGTCGGCGCACGCCAAATGTATATTCCCCTCCTTTAGCACTGGCATCAGTGTTCACGCTGGGCGTTATAACGTTCTTTCTTCACCGCACAAACCCAAGCGCCATCATTCTCTTATTGGGTCGCATATTAACGTCCATTCTCCCTTCGGAGTTTCTGCTATACGATTCGATACGTTGGAATATGTCGAATATCTCGTGTTCTACACCGCAGACGTTCCGTGGTTACACCCGGCATTTTTCGGATTATTCGCTTTTGTCGTTGTCTCTTTCTTATCTCAACGCTGGATTTTTACAAGACGAAATTATTAACTCTTTCGCGACTCTACGTACTTGGAGAAACGTAGATTGTACTTTAACGTTCTAAATTTATAGTGCGTCCATATGGCCGATTAGAATGTAACGATAGACTGTTGCAATTCGGAATAAATAGTCGACAAAATAAAATTAACAGTCATAGCAGAGCGTGCAACAGGCGCGCTTAAATACGGCTACGCGGAAATCTTTATTGCAGAGTCTGGTTTAATTTCAAGCTTAAAATATGACTCTAGCGAGATGTAGAACAAGATCGATGTATCCTTGGCCGAAGTCGGGGTGACCTTTGGTTTAAATTAACGCACCGTGTTCCGTCACCTATTATTGTACGGACCGCAAACTCGGAATAGTACTTTAAACTACATCGGTACATGTTTTATTCGCAAATGCGTTACACGCGAAAAAGCATCGGAATAGACGCCCTCCTCCAGGTGATTAATTTCATTCGCCAATTAAAGAATCCTTCGGATTCAGCGCGCGTGCTGCGGTGTAAAGGTTGGGGCGAGAAAGCGAGACGATGGGACGAACATCACC